ATACATGTAAGATTCAAGTTTGTATGGAAAAGTGCTCAATAAAGTTTGTTATTATTATTATTATTATTATTATTATTATTATTATTATTATTGGTATTGGTATTGGTGTTGGTATTATTATTATTGTTATTAATTTTTATACTTCTGAATTCCTTCTATGGCAGAGTTGGTGGAGAGGAGAACTTTTTTCATTGTAGGCGATGTGACATGTGCTTAGGAATTCAATTGAGAGGCTCACACAAGGTAAGTTCATCAACTTGTAGATTAAACTAGGGAAGACAGGTTAAAAGAGTCCATGAAAATAAATCACAGTGCCTACCAATGGGATTTCTCTTCTGGTTCTTGAAGTAGTACAGTCATTGAGAACATGAGGAATCTGTAATTGGTTAATAATATGATTCATTAAACTCTCAAACCTTTGTCAGTAGTGACTCTGAACCTGCCCACTGTGCATGTTGACATTGGAAGCACTCTCATTCTTTCCATCACTTCAAATTTCTGCACAGCCAAATGTCAAAAAAAAAGCAGAATATGTCTCGCTGACCTAACTTAGACATTGACATCTAACAGTCCAATGTCTAGAATGCTAGGATCGGACTCAATAATTGTTGTCAATAACATTTAGTTGACTGTCACTAACAAATAGTTGTCAACAACTATGTACGCATGTCTTATCTGTGGATGCCCTTAGTTTAAAAAGTTGAGCCATTACAACCTTGTAATCAAAACAATGTACAAGAATGCCGTCAGAAATCTTTGGATATGGTTGGGTCATCTTTAAAAATTCTAACTCAGGAAAAGTTTGACACTGGGAAAGAGATTGTTAATTATTTTGATACATTTTTATTTCAAATGATTTTTTTTTTGAGTAATCATTTTGATTTATAATCTTTGTTGTCTACAGTGCATTGAAAAGAGTTCACGATCGGCTTGTCCCATTTGCTATGAGGTGAGAGCAACTTATCATTGGTAATGTTATACAAAGAAACCACAGAAAGAAAACTTAACTGTAATGTTTCATTTAGAAAAGTCGGTATATTCTACAGGGGTTTCAAAAACCAGGAGAAATTTCAAATGCCAAGGCCTACACCTTAGCTGAATCTGTTCCAGTTTTTAGATGGGTCCCAGTTCTTTCTCTTCCCCGGTGTTAAAGACAACAAAATGGCGGGAACAAGCAACGACACTTTGTCAACTATACTTGATAAGATGCACCTTGCGCATCTTATTGAGAACTTCCAGCATGAAAAGGTAACTGTGGATCAAATATGTAAGCTATCTTCTGAAGAAATGGAACTTTTAGGTGTGAAAGATCGCAACGCAATGATGAATTTAAGGTTAGAGTGTTTAAACTACGGTAGCAATCCACCGCCAAGGAAACCAGGAACACAAGTGTGTGGTGCTCCTGAGTACTTAATTTCTAAGTCAGTTTTAGAGGGGTACCTGGAGGATGGCTTTAATATCAAGGACATTGCGTCGTTACTTTCTGTTTCAGAAAGTACCATTTATCGTAGAATGGGTCGTTACAGCCTCAGTCAGTTGCAATTCACAGAAATAACAGAAGGTGAGCTTGATGAAGTTGTAGAAGAAATAACTAGGGAATACCCTTCTTGTGGAGAGGGACTGCTAAAGCAAATATTGGCAGATCGGGGAATAAAGGTTCAGAGAATGGGGCTCCGTGACAGCATTCATAGAGTCGATCATGAGGGAGTCGAAAACAGGAAGAGAGGCCGTCTATGTCGAAGGACCTATAATGTTCAGGGTCCCAATCACTTATGGCACATAGATACAAATCATAAGCTCGTACGTTGGCATCTGGTAGTAATAGGGGTTATTGATGGTTTTAGCCGCTTACCGGTCATGCTTTCATGCATGGATAACAACCAAGCTGAAACAATCCTGAAGTGTTTTTTGGATGCAGTAGATGAATTTGACCCGCCGAGCAGGATAAGATCTGACAAGGGCATGGAAAATGTTGATATTGCCGAGTACATGATTTCCAGAAGAGGAGTCAATAGAAGGAGTGCTATAGTTGGAAAAAGTACACAATCAGAGAATTGAATGCCTATGGCAGGATGTTTTTGAAGGTGTTTTAGGACTATATTACAGACTATTTTACTTCATGGAAGACGAAGGAATTCTTGATCCTCTGAATGAGATTCGCCTAGCTGCTCTTCACTATATTTATTTGCCATTAATCAATGAGAAGTTAAAAGTCTGGAGTCGGGCGTGGTCACGCCACAGGATGTGCACTACAAGATCCTCACCAATCTGTATGTGGGTATCAGGCCAGTTACAAAATCCATTGGGTATTGAACTGGTGGGATCAGCCATAGATAATTATGGGGTAGAAGGTATTATAGACGCTGACATTGGGGATGAGTCTGAAGGCAGGCCCATTCCTTCTTCTCTGTCATTGCTGCTTTCGGATGAATGTAAAAGTGTTTTGGCTGGTCATCTGCCTTCAACCCCCCTGACCGAAAATTATGGAGTTGAGCATTACTTGAAATCAGTTGAAATAATCAAGAATTATACAGTGGCAGTTCCAGGAAGTCCAACAGAACAACAACAATGATGGGTACTTTACTAACAGTGTATTTAACTTAACAGTGGCACTACAATAACATGTATGCTTGTCAAAATGCATACCTTTCACATTAACTTGAACAAAACGAGTTTTTCAATGTGTGAAATCATTGAGCATGAAATATATCAAATTGGTTATGCTAGCAATAACAATTTCAAAAATTACTGAACTCAACTGCAATGTTCTAATGACTGCTTGCCAAAACATAGCCCACTAACCCAACTGCAACATAGCTGCTGGAAACTCTTCAAGTCTTAACTACTAGTCTACCTACGAAGTAGAACCTCATCATCTTTGCAAGAATTTCCGACAATATACAATGGAATCAGCTCATCATACTGGAATTGTATCCCTGGCAGTACTGGCAACTATGTTGCTGGTAGGTTGGTGGTATATAACAACCAGGCTTTACTCCTAAAGTAAGACTCTTTGACACCTTTTTAAAAATTCAAGTGTTCTTTAAAACAAACTATGTAAAATCTACTGCAATTTTACGTATTTTCTGATGAGAAGTCAAGAAACTACAGGTAACATCAAACGATAACTTCC